TAACTGGGCAAAAGACATGGATGCAGAAGTGGAGGGTGTATGTAAGGCAGCCTGAGCCCAAGGGGATGGGAGGGCTGCTTTTTTGTCATCATCAAGAGCCAAGCCCCAAATCCCAAATTTGTAGAGCATTAGTCCCTTCTCAAGCCCTTGAGAAGTTCAGGTAATTGACTCAACCTTGGAAGGCAGGAGGGAGACAAAATAAGGACACAGATTCCCTGAGGTTGCCTCATCCAGGCCTGGTCCCTAGGGGTCCCAACATCCCTATGGCAGAGGCAGAGGTGGCAGGAGCACAGCCAGAGGAAGCAGTGGGCAGGCAACAGGGGAGGGATAAATAATGGCAGTCAAGCTCTGTCAAGCCCCCTTTCCCCCCCAACTGGCAGGGCACACTGGAGCAGCCCCATCTACAAGGAAACTTTAAACCAGGGCCTCCTGCCAGGGTAAAGAAGAACGAGGCACCACGTCTCAACCTTCAGGAGAATCATTTTCCTTCTGAGCAACCTCACCAGGAGAGACCTGGGGAGTCAGTATCTGCCATTGACTCAGACAAGCCTCCCATTTACATGACCTCAGGAAATTCAGATCTATGTGACATGGGGGAGCATAATGCTTAGCTGACTATCTGTTTTGGAGCACCGCTACCTTATGAAGTAAGTTCTTTGGACAGATGAGAAGACTGAGGTGCAGAGAGGAAAGCCATTGCTATGTCTATTAGTTTTAACCTCTCTTCTTGGTCTGTCTAGCCAAAAGCCAATGGAGAAATGTTTAGGGAGAGAAGAGAGAGACAAGGAGATTCAGAATTTAGAGTATCTGGGTTACTCCCTGGGGTATAAACAATGAGGAAGGTATTACTGGGGCCATATGAGGTGATGATGAGGATTTAAGGATGAGAAAAGGCAGAGAAAAAGGATAGAGAAGGAAGCTGAGATGGGAGAGAGGGTCAGAGAGGGGAAAGGTAAATAACTTCACTAAGAAGAGATGGCTGGGATGGTACAATAGGGAAGACTAGATAGGGTCTGAGAAAGAAGACAGACCGAGCCCATGGTTCTGAACTGGGCATCATTCTGTCTCCCAGAGAATATTCGACAATGTGTGAGGATACATCTTACTGTCACAGTTAGGGGATGCTACTGGCATCTAGTAGATCAAGATACTGCTCAACGTCCTATAATGCTCAGGACAGCCCCAAACACAGAGCACAGCTCAGCCCCATTGTTCTGCTCTCTACTTCTATAAATTCAATATTTTTAGGTTCCATTTATAAGTGAGATCATGTAGTCTTTGTCTTTCTGTGCCTGGATGGATGGTTACCAAAGACTAGAAGTGGGGTGGGGGAAGGAAGAAATGCAGAATTGTTGATCAAAGAAGAAAAAGTTTTGGTTAGATGGAACAATCCATTTTGGGGTCTATTGTACAGCAGAGTGAATTTAGTCAATGATCATGTACATGTCAAAATAACTAAGCCAACTCCAAATATTTTACCATAAAAATGACAAATAATTTAGGTGGTGGATATGGTCATAAACTTCATGTAATTATGACACATTGTGTATATCATCAAAACCTCACCTTGGGGCCAGGGATTTAGCTCAGTGGTTCTGGCTCCTGCTGCACAAGCACAAGGTCCCAAGTTCGATCCCTGGTACCAAAAACAAAACAAACAAAAAAAATCTCACCTTCTACCCTATAAATACATACAATTATGCTTAGTCAATCAAAAGTAATATTAACAATTTTAAAATGAATGATTCTGTCCCCAGTGTCCCTAATGCAGAATTTGGGGAACACTACATTTGGGGTATATATGGGTAGGACTTCTCTGTGTCATGCTTAGCTCTCAAGTCTCTAGGTGGCGAGATGACCCCACTGTGCCAGTGCCAGAAAACTGTCTGTCTCCTCTCCCTCTCCTTCTCTCTCTTCTTTCTATTTCTTTTCCTGTATCTCTTGTACTCTCTGCCTTTGTCTCTCTGTGTGTCCTTTTCACTAAAACCCATGTTTATATTAAGAGCCACACTTGGTGTTTGGATTTTGACAAATGCACAATGTCCCTCATCCACCATCACAATATTCTACAATGTGGTTTCACCATCTTAAACACCCTCTTTGCTCTGCCTATTCCTCTCTCTCTCTGTCCTAACAAGTCCCAGGAAACCACAGACCTTTTATTGTTAATGATTTTGTGTCTTCCTGACTGAAGATGGGCCTGTTTTAGCTGCATTCTGTGTCCCATCATGCTAGAGAATGGTATATGCAGTCCTCAGCCACCTTCCCCAGAAGGAATCAGCTCTAATCTTCCCTTAGTTCTTTCTTTCTTGGATGTTTGGGATCTCCTGTAATATGAGGTTGACAGTGTGGGTATGGTCAGCCATGGGGACGGGACATCTTCTTAACCTTGGGAGCAGCCTCTGACTTTCCTTAACAGCCACCAGTAAGTGATGACTATAACAAGAAAGAGGCCAGGAAAAGACAAGCGTTGGGGTCAGTCAGACATAAGTTCAAAGCCTGGTCCACTGCACAGGCACAAAAAGGGCACATAGTGTATGATGCCATTTATGTGACATGTCTGGAACAGGCAGATTTATAGAAACAGAAACTAGATTAGTGATTTACTCTGTTAATTTTATATTGCCTAGCTTTTTTGGAAAAAGATAACTTAAATATTGTTAAGTGATTCATACAGAAGCACGGAAGGTGGCTGGGGATATATCTCAGTGGTACAGTGCCTGTCCTGAGTTCCATTCTTGATACAAAAAAAACCCCAAAACAACAACAAAAAACACTGAAATCTCATATTCAATGGATTCTTATAATTATTTACTGAGGACAAAGTATGTATATTTGCTTACTTGTATTTCCTTAGTTAGCATATAACACAACTTCCAAGAAGAATTCATTTGTTTTTCACAATAACTCTTTGATAGAGAGGGGGGAATGAGGTACACAGAGATGGAGAAACTTGTTTAGGTTACACAACAGGCACACAGGGATTTGAACTTGGGTCTGCTACCTCTTACTACCTTCTATCTGTCTCATAGTTATATTGCATTGACTCAGAACATACAGACATGATTCATGGACACCAGGAAACAATACTTTACTTCAGTCTCTTCCCTTAAAACAATACAGTCTGTTACATCTCACTTCCCATGTGGATGAATAACTGCAGAGGAAGAATCTGACCAATGTAAATTAAGCCAGAGATGCTCCTTTTCCATGAATTTATGGGCAAGGGTAGAGATATCTTGTGGTATCTAAAGCTGTGGGTAGAACGGGATTTATCACAAAGAAAGAATAGGGCATGGAAGCAATGTTGGAAGGTTCAGGAAAGGGACTCTTCATGTGGGGAAACAAAGTCAAAGAACTGTGCAGGGTGTAGTCTTTGGAGTCAGCCAGCTGTGGGTCTGAGTTTTGAACTGGCCATTTCGGCAGCTTCACCTTAAGCAACTTGTTGAGCCTTTCTACACTCCATTCTCAATGAGTTCGCTCAACATACCTAGGATGGGGGTAAAAAAAATAGCACCATCTTCACAAAGCAGATAAGATCATTAAGTTATAGAAGGTAACAGTAGGAATTGAATTGATGCCACATGTTATCCTTGACCACGATCAGACTTTAGGGCAAGCTGAGGTGGGATGGAGGCTGACCGACCGCCTTTTCCTGTCCAGTAGGTGACCTCTCCCCACCATGCCTCACCCCAGAAGCAGCCTCCATGTGGGGAGCTAATCACTCAACAGTGACTGAGTTCATCCTCATCGGCTTCTCCACCTTCCCCCACCTTCAGCTGATGTTCTTCCTGCTGTTCCTGCTGATGTACCTGTTCACCCTGCTGGGAAACCTGCTCATCATGACCACCATCTGGAGCGAGCGCAGCCTCCACACACCCATGTACCTCTTCCTGTGCGCCCTCTCCATCTCTGAGATCCTCTACACCTTCGTCATCATCCCACGCATGCTGGCTGACCTGCTCTCCACCCACCACTCCATCACCTTTGTTGCATGTGGCAACCAAATGTTCTTCTCATTCACATTTGGCTTCACCCACTCCTTCCTGCTCACTGTCATGGGCTATGACCGCTATGTGGCCATCTGTCACCCCCTGCGCTACAATGTGCTCATGAGCCCCCATGGCTGTGCCTGCCTGGTGGCCTGGTCCTGGATTGGTGGATCAGTCATGGGGATGGTGGTGACAACAGCAGTTTTCCAGCTCACCTTCTGTGGTCCCAATGAGATCCGCCATTTCTTCTGCCATGTGCCACCCCTGTTAAAGTTGGCCTGTGGAGAGAATGTACCAGTGGTGGCCAAGTGTGTGGGCTTGGTGTGTATCACAGTCCTACTGGGCTGCTGTCTCCTCATCCTCCTCTCCTACGCCTTCATTGTGTCTACCATCTTGAGGATCCCATCAGCTGAGGGCCAGCACAAAGCCTTCTCCACATGTGCGTCCCACCTCACGGTGGTGGTTGTGCACTATGGCTTTGCCTCTGTCATCTACCTCAAGCCCAAGGGCCCTCAGTCTCTGGAAGGAGACACCTTGATGGGCATCACCTACACGGTCCTCACACCCTTCCTCAGCCCCATCATCTTCAGCCTCAGGAACAAGGAGCTGAAGGTAGCTATGAAGAAGACCTTCCTCAGCAAACTTTACCCAGAAAAAATATAACAATCTGGGGAAAATTCCTTGGAAATAACTAAATATGGTTACCAAATTCTACTGTTAGAGATGATACCCCATCTTATATGCTGAGTTATGTTTTCTGAGCCAATCAAGCTGCCTTTGTAGACAACATACAAATGTATATATACACAAGGGTCAATCAACATCAGGGATTTGTTTGGAGTGGAAGGGTGTATGAGCTCATAACACAGAGAAAATCAGATTTTACTCTGTACCTGTGACAGGATACTGTCAGCGCCAAGTCTCTAGATCTGTTCGCCTGCCCAGATCCAGTGTTATTTATTATTCTTGGCAACACAAACCCACAATGCAATGAGAAATGGAAGACTTCATATTCCACTTCCATCTCATAACACAAGGTAGGAATAACTCAGATTTTTTCAGTCTATAAAAGACTACCCCAGCTTAAAAGAAAGGAAAGCAAAAGCACCGTATTTCATCATTGTCCAGATCTGTGCAGTAGAAGTTGGAAACAGGACTAAGCAGATATCCAGAAAAAGAGTTGGGGAAATCTTGACACTTCAGTGGTAAAGCTTGAATACTTGTAGATGGACAGAAATGTTTTCACAGTTGGTTTAAGTAAACGGTTCCACTGCGAAGTATCATCTGTTGTGTTGGTGATACAGCACAAAGGCCAAAGAGGAGCTTTCTGCTGAAGATGGACAATGAGTGCAGAGCCCAGGATGAAAGTTTATCTTGTGGGGCTTAATGCTCACCTGTTACTCTACAGAGAGGAATTTAAGGTTGATCCCACTGAACAGCATTTATAATTTGTTAAAAATACATGTTTTCAAGTTTAAGTTGAATAGAAAACTATACATCATTTGTCCTAAAGGATGAAGTCAGTCTTTAGAGGATCACTTCAATGGTAAACACATCCTGTGATAACAGGAAATGGGGGGAAGCAGGAAGCAATTTCAGTCACAACTGAGGAACCCAGAGAAGCTTCCTTTTCCCAGTACATGCTGCAGTTCATGTTTCTTCTTACTGTTCGGGCACATTGTGTGTCATTACAGCCTCATGAGAGGGTGCAATAGAATCACACCCTCCCCATTTGACAGAGAGGAAACCAAGACTCCTCCAAGATCACACAACAGGAAAGAGCCAGGATTTCTGTCTTCTCAGACTCCATGTCCTCTCCATTCAGTGCTTCATGCAGTGTCTTCTTACAGTGGGTTTTGTGGACCTGAATACAGGGATCATTGTCATCCACCAAACCACACACCTCAACATCCTTAGAGTACTTTATGGGCACTGGAGGGTGATGTGATCTACCATGCACTAAAACCTTCATCCTTGGAACTTTGTGGGAAATTTTCAGTAAATTCCAGAGTCATTCATGATTTTCTTTTCAATTTTTATTTTTTATTAGTATAATTTTTTATTTGAAAATAAGTTTTAGTCTTGGAATTTCTAAATAATTCCTCACACTGAGCTGAGATGTCCCTTTGCCAGCAACAAAGCCAATCTCAGCAAGAATAGAGAGCTACTGTTTAGAACATATAAAAAAACCAACAAAATTAAATCCACCAAGATAAAAGACCCAATTAAAAAATGGGCAGGGCTGGAGATTTAGCTCAGTGGTTCCGGTGTCTGCCTCGCAAGCACAAGGTCACGAGTTCGATCCCCGGTACCCCCCAAAAAAGAATCTTGGGCTGGGGATTTAGCTCAGTGGTTTCGCTGCTTGCTGCTCAAGCGCAAGGACCCGAGTTCGATCCCCGGTACCCCCCCCCCAAAGATGGGCAACTGGGCCGGGGATTTAGCTCAGTGGTTCTGCCACCTGCCTTGTAAGTGCAAGGTCCTGAGTTCAATTCCTGGTACCGAAAAAAAAAAGATAAGAAAAAATGGGCAACTGAAATGAATAGACACAGAAGAAGAAGAAGAAGGAGGAGGAGGAGGAGGAGAAGGCCAATAAATATATGAAAAAATGCTTAATATCATTGGCCATTAGAGAAATGCAAATTGAAACACTGAGGTTCCATCCTTTCCAGAAAGAATGGCCATCATCAAGAAATCAAATAATAACAAATGTTGGCAAGACTGCAGGGGGAAAGGAATACTCCTACATTGTTGGTGAGAATATAAACTAATGCAACTATTTATGGAAATAAGTATGAAGATTTCTCAAAAAAGTAAAACTAGAAATTCCATTTGACCCGACTATTCCCCTTCTAGGTATCTTCCTAAATGAGTTGAAGACATCATATTATACTGATACATGCATACCCATGTTTATAGCAGCATAATTTATAATAGCTAAATCTTGAAAATGGCCCATATGTCCATCAAAGATGAATAGATAAAGAAAATGTAGTATTTATACACAATGGAGTACTACTCTGCCATAAAGATAAATTTGAGTTGTTTGTAGGAAATGGATGCACCTTGAACCATTTTGTTCAGTGAAATAAGTCAGACACACAAGCTTAAATATTGCATATATTACCGAATAGTTTCACTAGTGTGAGAAACTGATAGTGTAAACAAGGATTAAAATGATTAGAATGAATAATTGATAATTTGAAATAGGAAAAAAGGTCCAAAGATGAAGGAGTGAAGGGAGGGGAAGGGGAAAGGAAA